GCACTTAAGGCAAACACAATAGGGAGTATAACTCCTATTGATAGTATAGTGATAAAAGCTAATAATATTTGATTATCCATTAAAACAATTCTCTACTTAAAAAAACATTTTGGTAATTATATTGTTTAAAAAATAAACATTTCATTAAACATATATATAAAATTATAAAAAATGGCTAACAGACATACTCAAAGTGAGAAAAAAGGGCTTATAACAGAGATGATAAAGCACAAAATGTAGATAAAAAAAGATAAGCTCTTTAAGTGTAAAACATTTAAAGAGCTTTTTCTTTGTGGTTAAATTTTATGGTAGTAAAATATAATTAAAGACCTAACTCACCCTTTATTTGAGAAGTCCAAGCCTCAATTCTCTCATCTGTTAAATCATCTTGATTATCTTCATCCAATGCAAGTCCTACAAACTTACCATCAACAACAGACTCACTCTCTTCAAACTCATAACCCTCATTTGCCCAAGAGCCAACTATTTTAGCACCTCTCTCAACTGCTTTGTCATGAACTGCCCTCATAGCATTACAAAATGTGTCTGCATAACCCTCTTGATCTCCAAGACCAAAAACCGCTACTGTTTTACCGTTTAGATCAACCTCATCGAGCTCATCAATAAAATCTTCCCAATCACTTTGTAAATCACCATCACCCCAAGTAGAGGTACCAAGTATTATAGAGCTATAATTACCAAATTCATCAACAGAAGCATCAGAAACATCAAAAAGATCAACATCGCCTAACGACTCTGCTATTTTCTCCGCTATATCTTTAGTGTTACCACCATCGCTGCCAAAAAAAAGTCCAACTTTTGCCATAGCAAAACTCCCAAAATAATAAAAATTAAAACTATTTTAGTTAAAAAATAGTAATTGCAGTAAAATGATACTACTAATATTTTGAATTAAAGATAAAATTTAGATATTTATAACAAAACTTTTACGATATTTCATTTAGCTTTTACATTTATTAAGATAAAATTCGCAATTATTAAGTGTGTATAGAAGGTCTAAAGTTATGAAAATAAAATTTAATCACATAAAATATATAGCAGAAAAAATTGCCATAGGGAGCATATGCTAGAGCAAAAAGTAAGAGACATGATAGAAGAGAATGAGAATGATATAAACTTTTACATGGCAGATGAGAAAGAGCTTTTTAGACTTATAAAAAGAAGGTTAGCTCCAGAGTTTGATATAGCACTAAATGCAGAAGAGAGATACTCCATACTATCATCGATTATACTTGAAGAGCTTTATGAAGAGGATTTAATCAATTATGATATATCAGAAAATCAAGTTA